CCAATCCTGGTTAAAAAGAACAAAAAACTGGTAAATGTTTATAACAGGGACTAGCAAATACTTTTTGTAAAGAGCTCAATAGAAATACCTTAGGTTTATAAGCTATAGTTCCGGGCTGGCCAAATAGCTCACTGGATTAAAGCACCTGCAAGCAGGCGCAGGGCTGGAGATTCAATCCCCAGGCCTGCTGTGCTGGCCCCACCCCTGGGGTGTACTGAGACTGCGATTGAGACTGGGCGTGGTGGTGCGAGCCTGTAATCCCAGCTCTTGAGAGGCTGTAAACAGGCAGATCACTACAAGTCTGATCTAGTAGTGAGACCCTGAGCACCGTGTAGACCTTTCCCTAAAGTACCCAAAAAAAAAAAAAAAAATCTTAGTTCTCTATTTTTTTGAATTTTTTATTAGCATATGTTTGCAGTACATAATGACCATATTCCTTAATAGAGAGTTGGTACATATGAATAGCACATCTTAATGCTCTTTTATTTTTTTTTATTTTTTGGTGGAACTGGGGATTGTACTCAGGTCCTTGTGCTTGCCAGGCCAGCGCTTATTCTACTGAGCCATTTCCCTGGCCCCTTAATGCTCTTTTAATCCGCTTCCTTTTCCCTCCTTTCTCTTTCTCTTTGTCTCTTGGTCCCTTTCCCCTTTGCAAAAGATCTCCATCTACCTGTTTCCTATTATCTATCTTTTATTGTGCACTTTACTTATATTTTGAGTTTTTCGCACAGAAGAAATCACACTGTGTGTCTGATTTATTTCACTTAGCATTATGGTTTCAAGTTGCAACCATTTTCCTTCAAGTGACTCGAGTTTATTCTTTATTACAGGGTAGTACTCCATTATGTATAAATACTTCAGCACATTTTGCCCGTTCATCTGTTGATGGACATATGTTACAGCTGCTGAACTCTACCATTGTGTCACAAAAGCAGCTATGGATAGTAGTGTAAAGAAAAGAGCTAGTCATGTTCCAATTAAATATTCATAAACACACATGCACACACACAGAGAGATACACTCACACAGTGACACCTTCCATGTGTTATATTAGATAATGTTTAAAGCAGTGTCAGTCCAGTTTTTGCTCTAATTTGTTCATCTTTCAATAGATGTTTATTGGGTCTCCATTTGCTAAACAGGTGTTAAGGATACAGTGATGAGCAAGTTGTCCAAATTTCCTGCCTGTGGTGTTAATATTTACTGAGGAGCAGATATCGATTGGATAATTCTTTTATTATAAGTGCTTTAAGTAATGAGAAACAAAAGTAGGAAGTTCTGTAAGAATGTGTGAGAGGCCTAATCTACTGTGAGTCTTCAGGGAAAACTGCTCTGAAGAAGTAATCTTTTAAGTATAGCCCCTGAAAGATGGTTGGATTACTGGGAGTGATTGCATATGAACTTACTGGGAGGTGATTATATACAAAAATTGTAAAGTGGTGAAACAGAGTGTGTTCAGTAACTGAAAGGAAGTAAGTGCATTTGAAGCATGGTGAGCATGAGGAAGAATGGTGTTAGATGGAACCCACTAGATGGGTTAGAATTAGCTCATGGAATACTCTAATAAGAACTCTCTTTTCTCAAAGAGCTGTTAAACCGTCCAAGGGATAGAAAGACATGATGAAAGATGTCATTTGACATCATCTTGCCTGCTTGAATCATTGGTTCTATATGTATGACTGTCCATGAGATGGCTTATACCACCTGTAGTAGATGTGTGACTATCCTGTTTTGCATGATGGGGACAATTATAATAAGCATGAAACAACAGTGGTTCTGAGCTGCCTGGCAGCGAGATACATGAATTTCAATCTTTTTGTGAATGTGTTAAAAGTGATCCTTGTTGCTACTTATACACAGGCAAGAAATAGAGAGGACCAAAAGCAGAAGACAAAACTGTTTGAAGCTGTTGCCATAATGCAGGTGGCAGGTGACAGAGGGCTAGTTTGGTGGTTGTAGAAGTTAATAAGCAAATGGATAAGATGTAGAGAAGCTGAAGATTACAGTCAGTTGAGAAGGAATGATGTCTGGGGAATGATGTCTGGGGAATGTAAACTGTCTGCCTCAACTAAAAGAATAAACTAGCAAAGGATCTAGAGTAGTTTCCATCTCCTTATTTCAGGTTAGGCATGGGGGGACTTTAAAAATGAGTACAGATTTAGGTAGGTTCATAAGTAGTGGAGAAAGTTTTGAGCATACTTTTTCTGAAGTAGCAAGTGAGGTTATTTGGTAAGAATGAATGCACACGCCTAAAATAGGCACCTGATTACACAGGGATCAAAAATATAGGTATCATGGTCTAATAGTGCTCTTTAGTGGTGGTGTTTCTGTAATGTTTTTTTAAGTCTTAGTATAGTATATTTCTCTTGAAATTTTATCATTTTTAGTTGTTACAACTGGGGATTCTAAAAAGCATTTCTGTTTTTGCTCAACATTATGCTTGTGAAACTTAAATTGCAGCATTTATTTTTACAGCTCTAATGCTTTCTACTATAGAAATACACTGCAAAATATTTATCTACTATATTGCAGATGAATGTTTGATCTCTAGTTTTGCTATGTCAGTGCTGCAGTCATTCCTTTGCACATCTCATAGTATATGTGTGTAAAGTGTTTAAGTGCCTATGTACAGAATTCCTGCATCATTGGGTTATAGATGTTCAGCTTCACTGAGTAATGTTTTCTAAAGTGGTTTCCAATTCATACTCTTATCCATGTAGATAATTGCTCTCTCTTAACATGCTTGTTTTGCATATGTATAATCTTAAATTTGGTTGCAGACTGTAATCAGCCTACTGATCATCACTTAAGTACCACTAATGTAAGATACTTTGTTTAAATTTATATTTACCTAGTTACTAAGATGTGCATCTTTTCATTTAGAAGCCTCTTTTATATCTTGTGTTCATTTTTCAGTTAGTTTGACCTGAAAGATACTAACCTTTTGTCAGTCATGCATGTTACAACGTATCCTACCAGTTTTTGACTTACCTTTGTACTTTCTTTGAAGTATTTTTGATAAAGAGGACTTTTTTACAGTAATACAGTTACATTTTGGTTAGTGCTTTTTTTGTCTTATTTAGGAAAGAAATAATTTTTCTTACTATCTTTTTAAAAAAATGTATTTTAGTACATGGTTTACAGGGATTCACTACACAGATCAGACTTGTAGTGATCCTACTGTTTTCATCCTCCCAAGAGTTGGGATTACAGACACACACCACCACACCCAGTCTAGAAATCATTTCTTTCCTAAAGATTATAAAGATAGTTTCCCAGTATTTTCCCATGTGCAGAAAGTCTTTCAGTTTTGCTGTGCACATTTAAGTCTTTAATCTTTCTGTATTTGAGTTTTGTATGAATGTGATGTGGGATCCAAAATGGTGTCAGAATCCAAGTGTACTCTTTTCCCTATGGATAGCCATTTATGTCAGCATGGATTGTTTAATTCTTTGCATGGTGATTGGCAATAATATCTTTGCCTTATTTTATCTGTGTCCATATGTGCACGGGTCATTGGTGAGCCATTGTGCTACTACCTAAATGTCTGAATTATGGTAACATTATATGTGTTGAGGGAGAGCAATTCCTCACTTTCTTCTCATCTTCAGAAATACTTGCAGAACTCTGTGAAAGTGTGATCTGTTAAGTGAATTAAAAAAATGTAAATTATTAAACATTTCAGGGATACATACACATATCCCTTTATAATAGAGCTAACATACTCTGTTGACTGTGAACCTAGATTAAGTTAAAAATAAATGAAGATAAGAAATTGTTCAAATATCATATGTGTTTGTCTAGTTTCTAGAAGTTTGCTTTCCATTAACATATCAATACATGATGGAAAATATCTGTTCCATGTTATGTCTAAAATGTTTGATTTTCAGACAGATAGTGAGGTTAAGCTTAACTGCCTGCGTTGTACAGTAATAATAAGAATGTTCTCTTTTGGAAAGTTAACAACTTAAGTTTACAAAACAAAAATTAGAGAAAAAGAAGGACTGAAAGGACAGCCAACATTTTGGCCCTAGCCTTTCAAGGTCAGTGAGGACTCAGGACATAAGAGAACCTGTACTGTAACATCATGTAACTCAGTTGTGTCCCAAATTTTCTGATCAAGGAGATTATGGGGCCACAGAAGAAAGTAATTGATGATGTAGAGTGTGCCTAAGGAGAGTCACATGGAGAGAAAACATTTCTCAGGCTTTCACAGAGAGCAAATGGGTCAAGCAATGGCTGTGACTCATCCACATGGCATATGACAAAGGATCTACAAACTGTGGTACAGGGTTTCAGGATAAATCCTGAAGGGATTTGACTGACCTTAACAGATACAAAAGCTATTTCTTGTTATATAGATCTTGTTTGATTGTGGTCTTAATTATCCAGCAGAAAAGTATGAAAATGAAATACAAAAAGTAAAGCCATATTAATATGCTGAGCTGTAAAAGGCTGAAGTCAACAACTTCTGACATTGCCAGTCCTATGGATAACCCACTACTATTATGGACCAATGGACTATATTGGAATATTTTGCTGAATTCACACATCTGCAATATTTAAATGCCAATGAAATACCCACCTCTGACAAAACTAAACAAAAAAAGGGAGATACAAAGGAAGGACCACTTTATATCTGTATATTCAAAATAGGATAGATATACAGCTACTTTCTCTTAATTCAGTGACTAGAAAGATTTGTACTAATAGTGTTTGGACAGGATACCATGTCTGCATCTTATACTATGAATAACCACTACAAAGACAACAATATGCAATGTATTAATTATTGAAACTGTCCTACTAATTGGTTTTGAAACTCTCATTGCTATTTGTTTCTCAATAAAATTATTAAAAAAGTATAGCTAATAAAAAAAGAATGAGAATCACACACAGATACACACAAGAATCACAAAATGTTGGATTTTTTTGAAAATGCTGATTTTTAGAATGTAAAATTTGTCAATATAATGATGTTTTATGTTTTTTCTTTCAAGTCTTGACACATAATCGAAGGCATAGCCTTTCCAAGATGATTCATCTTTATCCTTGTTCTGTAAACATTCAGGTGCCAACCAGATACTTTGCTGCTGCTGCTACAAAGTAAGTATTTCATTGTAATTGTTATTTCATTTACCCATTGCTTAAAATTTTGATTAAGAAATATGCTTTGGTCCCAAAAACTTACCATCTCTACTTCTTGCCCTCACAGCCCTGAAGATAAGATAAGACTTAATACAATAATACTTAACATTTATTGAACACTGACACTCAGTAAAAAACTTAAACTCCACAGCAACCCTATGAGGAAGCAATTGTTATTACTGTATAGAGAAAAATAATCAAGGCACCGATGATAGGTTATATTACTAGCCCACAGTCAGAGAGCTCGTACATGCGTTAGTAAGGATTTAAATCCAAGAAGTTTTAGTTCCCAAAACTAGGCTTTTTCTAGTGTGCCTTCACTGCCTTTTTAGAACAGAGTACACTGTTTAAATTAATGAACTTTAATTAACGTGTACTCTGTATGTAGTTGCTTTTATTCTTTGAATTATATTCTGTCCGATGTGCTTTTTACAATTAGGTATTACAAGATTACCATTATTGAAATTATGTAGTGGAATTTTAGATTGCATTATATAAATATGTATAAATTTATATTGTTTTTTGTAGTGTGGACATGTAGAAACATAAAAGAATGAGATCTGTTCTCCCTGCTGGTTTCATATTGAATGAAATTAGAAATCTTGTATTTTTTTCCATTGATAACTGCCAATACCTTATTAAACCAAATGATTGTATGACAGCCTAATGGCATGGTTACTTTTCTTACTGTTGAGGCAAGAGACTGAAAGATTTTGGCTAAATCCTCAACCTTCTATCTTGTGTCATCTAGCTGTATTAATTGTTACTTCTCCAGTTGGCACTGATGTTAATGAAATGTGGAAACAGGTATAGTTAACATTATGTTTATGAGTTAGTTAGTTTGTTTGTTTATTTATTTATTGTGACAGGGTCTGGAAATGTAGTTCAAGCTGGCTTTAAATTCACTATGTAGCCCAGGTGGCCTTGGACTCCCAGTGATCTTGCTGCCTCACTCTCTCAAGTGATGGAATTACAGGCATGTGCTGTCACACCTGCATCTTTCTCCTTAATGTCACCATTTTTGCAGGTGAAAAAGTGGCTCAGAAATAATTATACTAAGACCCTGAGAAGATGTCTAATATTAGTAAAAATTTGTAGAAAGTTTACTATGTGCTAGACACTATCCTAAGCATACTGCATATATTGTATTAATTTAATCTTTACAACAGTTCTATAAAATACAGACACAATTATAAGCATTTTTAGATAGAATAGTAGCCCAAAGATTAAGTCATTTTTCCAGGGCACATAGCTTGAATGTGTTGGAGGGAGGATGTATGCCCAGAATGACTAAAGCCATCACTCTTCATAGTTAGCAAAAGAATGAAATGAGTGGCTTTGGAGGGTATGTCCAGAAAGCAAATTGAGTTCAATCTTCCAAATCTTACTTTTTGATACAAATTTGATAGAATCTAAGCTTTAGATTATGGGATACCAAAAATGAAACCTAAAATGTGGAAGGTTTTTGATGAATTTATAAATTTTCAGTTTTTTATTCTTATTATTATAAAATTAATTGACTATTTAGGAACTGTGCCATAGTAGCCTTTTTATTTAGGCTGCCTCATGGAGCACTGTCTGCCATGGTGGTGACAGAAAGATAAACAGGGCACATGTTCTGATCCTCTTCCCTTAAAGACTTCACGATGAACTGGAGTTCTGTAACAATTGCTTTTCACATTTATACATTTATATCTACGAATGTAAGCAAGATGGCATGGATAATTGCACTGTGGATTTCTGCTGTTCTATGGAAAGGAGCAGTTAATGCTTAATTTTTTTCTTTTTTTTACCCCCTCATTGTCTCTTCCTAAATTTTTTTTTTTTTTTTTGGCGGAACCAGGGATTGAACTCAGGCCCTGCGCTTGCCAGGCAAGGGCTTATTCTACTGAGCCATCTCCCTGGCCCCCTCTTCCTAAATTCTTATAACATTTTTTTTTCTTTTTCCAATTTTGCATGCGTATACTTGGTAATCTAAACAACTAAGTTGGAGACAACACTGTGCAATACAACAAATACTGTCAAGTTCATATTATTTTGTTTAGTGAAATTCTATATCATTTCTAATTTTTTATTACTAATTTGTGTTCTCTAAAACTAAAAGATTAATTATTTAAATTCATTATTTAAAATAATTTATTAACTGTAAGTAGATAAAATATTCATGGTAAGCAATTAAAAATAAAGGTTATGTAATGAAAAGCAATTTGTCTTCCACTCTGCCCTTTCGTGAGTTGTGATGATCTATGCATTTATAAATATATAGATTTGTTTTTTGTGTAAATGCTAGTTGTTTTTTGTGTAAGTGGTAATGAACTCTACATGCTTTCATTATTTTTAAGAGAAAAAAGCAAAAATGATAAAATTTTAAAGCAAGATGATAGGAAATTAATGTTATTATATTGGATGTTGTTATCTTCAAAGTAGTTGCTCAGATTACCAGATAAAGGTATGCAAAGTTGATCAAACATATTAAGGCAATAGCTGTTTCTTTCAATGAACTAAGAGAGATTTCAGTGATGGAGAGGCTTGAAATTGGAAGATACAAGTGCAAATACAATCTGTTATGGCTTGAAGATAAGATAAATGGGAGCTGGTAGGAAAGTAGCCAGAAAGAAGGCTTCTTCTGGGTATGAATAGTGCCTGGGTTCTGTTTTATGCTGGGATGTTGGAGGAATACTGGTTGGACCAGCTTATGTCTCTACTCAGCAGTTAGTGAGGGATGACCACTTCTTCATGTTCCTAACAGCCTTGGATATGCTCAATTTTTATTGTTTCTTTGTGTATTTCTAATTCATGTGTTTTGCCCAGTCTTCTAGTGGGCTGCTTACCTTTTTTCCTTTCTGCTTTGTGTAATTATCTGCATATCACATATATTATCTTGAGAATGTTTTATCTTCAAATGCTTTGTTAATCTCATAGAATTTTTTTGTTTCATGTCTTTTCCAAATTATATTGTAGTACAGTTAAAAAAAATACTTTTCACTAGACTAAACAGGATGGCACCAAAAAATAGACCTACTTCAGAAAGCTATGAAAAAAAAAAAAAGAAAGCTATGAAGCTTTATAAGCAAATGCATTTTTTCATTTCTGCCAATGAGAGTTATTCAGTAGCTTCATCGGAATTATAGCTTTGTACTTTTAGTTGTAATCTTTATTTTTTTAATGTTCTGACCTTATAACACAAAAATAGATGTTTTCTGTGGCTGGATTTTTATTCTCGTCTGGATCTGAGACAGGGTGGAGGGGCCTGTGCTCTTATCTCCTTCCTGATGTTCGGGATCTCCCAACCATGTGTGTGAGCAAGCATGTATCTTTTATTTGCCAGTAGCACATTCTCATTTATAAAAGGGCCAGTAGGCCATCCAAGTCTAGTTTTGTTTTTTTCTTGACATCGTGTTCTTTTCTTTGTTTCTTTGTGTATCTAAAAAATTTTCATGGAATGTGTAATAGTATCTTACCTAGACCAGTAGGGACTGAAGTAAACAGTTTTTAAGCCTGTACATAGTCATGATCTTCAGGTGTTAAATCTTGTAAGGGGTTGAGCTGGTTTTGGTTTTGTGGTTACTATGGATACCACCAACCTCAAATGAAGCAAGGTTACCTTATGCTCAGGGTGGGGCTGGGCTGCCAGAGGCTTTTTCTCTGTGTCTGCTGCCTGCTTTCTTGTCAGATTTCCTTGTGCAGTTGCACCTGGGTGGGATGCTGATGATGGTGTCTGCACTCTTGGCTCTCCTCAACAATAAGCTGCTGGTACTTATTACTCAGTGCCTGCTGGGCTGTAATGGGTGGTGGGAGACTTTCTCTGTGGCCTGTGTCCAGTCTTGGTCTTCAGTAGGCCCCTTGCAGCTGGACTGTGGGCAGAGGGTTTCTGCAGTATTTCTGTCCCTCCTCTTTTGGTCTGTCTCAGCTGCAGGTCGTGAGGGCAAGTTTCCAGGCTCTCTTACAGCTGTATTGCTATAGGATCCTGAGCTCAGACTTTCTCATCTGTTTCTAGGAATAGGATTTTTGTAGTATTTTTTTCTTTCCTCCCAGACACAGTGGCTATTTCTCTGGGCCTTGTCTCCTCATGTGCACTCTGTGGAGAGGCTTTCTAATCACCAGCCCTGTGCAGTCTTTCCTGGAAGCTCCTGGTAGAGGTGTATGGAAAAGGGCTTTGCAGCTGAATGTAAGTTCCCATGTTTGCACCTGCCAGCCATCTTACCCTGTCCTGCCTGCCTGAACGTTTTACCCCTTTGCCTTTCTCTTGCTCTGCATTAGTGGAGAGCAGGATGTGGGCAGGAGGCAGGAGTGGAAGCTGACTCTCCTTGGCTTTTAGGCTACTTGGTTGCCTGCTATAGCAGATCTGTGACCTCAACCCTGTGATGGCATCAAGAAAGGTGATTTTATCCAGCTTTTTCTTGTTAATGTTTTTTCCAGCTTTTTACATTTTAAGCAGAAGCAGAATTTCTAAGTTTAGTTTACAGGGTAATGAATAAGCCAGTATCAGAGATGTTAGGGAATTTATTTCACTAATGTACCCTAGGCATTTTCTCTTTAGTTCAGTTTAGTTTGACAGAGGTTGTGCAACCCCCTCTGTGCACCCCCCCCCCCATGTCTCCCATTCCTTAAGGTGAAAGGATTCCTCATCCTTGGGAGAACTTGCATTAGTCTTTTCCTCTCTGAGTTACAGATTTTTCAGAGGTCTTTTTTTTTTTTTTTTTAATTTATGTATTTGGTATGGGGTCTCACTACCCAGCTCATTTTTTTTTTTTTTTTTTTAATTTATGTATTTGGTATGGGGTCTCACTACCCAGCTCAGACTCATAGTGATCCTCCTGTTTTCAGCCTCCTCAGCACTGGGATTATAGATATGTGCCACCACGCCTGACTCAGCTCAGCATGCCCTGGGGACTGGGCTAGCAGAGGCATGTGGTGTAGGGGATAGAACCCCAGTCCCTACACTTGCCTAAGCAGGT